CCCCAAAACCCCAAAACCCCAAAACCCCAAAACCCCTTATATTTCTAGTTGGTTGAAACCTTTGTTAAAGTTAACACTCAGAACTGTTCTCTTCTTGTATGCCCTTAGCTAGGAGCTTTCCAACTTCAAATTTCTTCACTTTGTTCTGTATCTTTGTAACTTCGTTGATGGTGTTTTGTAACTTTTCAATCATCTCTTTTTCCTTCTTCTCACAAAGCTGCATGTTAGAGTAGTTTTGGGAAGAAGTCTTTTGGATTGATCTGAGCTTCTTGAGGTAACTAAATTTTGTCTGTTCTGAATTCCACGTTTTCATATCTAGAGAGTGTTAAGAGGTAATGGTAGTACTGATTCGAAGATCTCGGATTTTCTTTTGATGGTTCAATCTATTTTTATTGATTGTGTATCTGTTTGATTGCTCAGTCTGGATAATCTTCTTACTTTCTGCAAGACCTGCTTTGGTGTTTGTATCCACTAATTTATTTTAACGATCTATTATTTTCCATTCTGCTTTGTCTTTTTAACTGAATCTCTACAGATGATCCTAAAAGCTTGTACCTTTCCTTGCTCTCTCTCGTTGTTCCATATTAATTTTATTTCTGATATTCTAATTTTTGCCTTGACTTTAGCAGACTTTCATCTTTAAGTCTCTGCTTTTCAAGTTTATATTCCTACAGAGTGAGTTATAATTTTTACCTGTAGTTTCTCTAGTCGTTCACACCTCTTTTTAGCAGTTTCAATTTGATTCTGAGCCCTTCTTTCTTCCATTTGGAGCCTGAGAATCCTGTTTCGTAAAATTTGTAGCTGGAAAGTTGACGTCTTCTTCTCAATGAGTGCCTTGAACATGTCAACACCCTGGGTCGGACCCTTGGGTCGGTGGATTCTCTTCATAATTCTATGCGTAAGGGAGTTAGCTTACGGCTGAATGTCACTATTGGCAGAAATATCTGTGGATTTAGCCATATTTTTACGCCTAGAATTAGTAACATAAAGTGTTTACTCTGGCTCAACTGACCTGTGCATCCTGGTCTGGCTTATTTTAATATGGATTGACTCTATTTGACTGGCAGATCGATCTGAGTCCTGTAGGGTTTTGCAGAAAATTACTTTTAATTTCTTCGCTTTCTCGATTGAGTCCAGAGGATAATCATGGTAATCTTCTAGCTTGATCTCATCCTTTGTGTGATTTTGGTGGATTTGTGGCAGCTTGGTGACCTTGGTTGTCTTGCTTTCAGAGAGAATCTCCAGATTGGTTTTCTCGTGCTCACTTTGATTCATAGTGTTATCTGGATAAGCGTTAAGAATATTTTAATAATTTTGAGAATTTACCAAAAGATTTGTGTAATAGGCTTGTAAATTTGTTCCGAGAGAGCTTGCTACGGTTTTTACGCTTCTTTCTATGCCTCACATTTTCCTAAAGAGTTATGAAAGTCTTACTTGATCATAGATAGATCGGATTGATTTATAAGGATGAATTTTTGAAGGTAGAAGCTTAATTGCACCTAAAAATAATGTTCATAAATATGAATGATGATAGACTTCGCTTCCATTTCCAAAAATCCCCGACACATACCTTTAATCCCTTTATTTTTAAATTTCATGGTCTTTCTATACTTCTTATTTTGATTCAGTTTTAGAGACCTTATTTTTCATCACTACTAAATCAACATATTAATTTACTGCTTTTAATTGGAATATCCTCTTGTGTATTATTTATTATAATTTTGGGATCATCCAAATTCCAGTTCTCTGTAGCAGATTCTTTACAAGATGTCTTTTCTTCCATAAATTTATCTTATTTTTCAAACAATTAAATTTTTTAAGGGGTTTTGGGGTTTTGGGGTTTTGGGGTTTTGGGG